ACTAGACTTGTGCCGGTATTCGGTAATGCGATGTATCACGGTAATGAATATGCATGATATTGTTATCGTGGGCACCTCTAAATACCGTGAATAATTATATATTACAAATTATTCCGAATTTTGAATGCCTTTTAAGAGTACTTTTCTCATCAACTGGTCAAAATGCACAACACCGCTGTATGTTGCGTGAAAGACGCGTGCGCACTTTGCCGTAAACAAGCGCGGACGAGAAGCACATGGTGGAACATGTTAGAGACGCTCTGGATGAAAGCGCACTTTCACGCTCTGACAGCAGATGGCACTAAACTGCAGAAATAATAATAATTATAATAATAATAATTCATTTAAATGCAGCCGTTACCCCGGAAACCCTGTAAACAAAGCAGCTGCTCTACTTTCTGTTTCTGAATCGTGTTTAAATGATTTAAACAGCCATTCAGATTTGTGTATTTGCTATGATGTTCATCACAGCGCCAAATACTTAAATATTTAGACTTAATAGGCTATTTGTTTTCAAACTTTTTTACATTTTAATCTGGACTACAACATGCCCTAGATATTGTTTGAAAGTGTTTTGATTCTTTATTGTTCGGTCACACTTTACATTAGGGCTTCATTAGTTAACATAAACTGCCAATGAAAAATTCTTCTGAACATTCATTAATCTTAGGTATTTCAATATTTAATAACAGGTTGTTAAAATCAAAAGTTGCAACTGTGTTATTTAATGAGCTAACATGAACTAAGACTTGTATTTTTTTTAAACAAAGATTAATAACTTCTGTAGCAAATGTAGCTATTGCTCATTGTGAATGTTAATGCATTAACTAAGGTTAACTAATGAGGTCTTATTGTAAAGTGATACCTATTGGTCTTTATAGTTCTTTTGCACTTTAATCTGTGTGAAACTTTTAACTTTATACATTTTTCTGTATTGCTTTATTGCATTTAAATGTTGTTATTTTTGTTATAAGAAAAAAGTTATTAACCATGTTATACTGTACTATGACAGCACTTTTTTAAAACTAAATTTCAATACCGTGATAATACCGCATACCATGATAAAAGCATTAGCAATTAATCGCAACATGAAAATTTGATACCGGCATATCCCTAGTCAGGAATCAAATTACTTGTTATAAAATTTCATTTCAATTCTGCGTCTCGATTTCTGTATGCGCATTTATTGTGGTTTCAAAAGATTCAACTGCAAGAAGACTAAATAGAACTCACTTCTGCACTCGCGCGCGGTTTTATGTGCTGCTCACACAGCGCATGCACAAAAGCCGCGTCTTATATACGCGAACACTGAACTGAGCTCTTTCTCGTGTTCTTACACATTCGAATGGACAAATACACACAGAATTATATCAAAATATCCCATAAATACAATCGGTTATGTCTTAAGTGAACGCAAAGAGGGGAGAAAGAAAACAAGAGTGTATTGGGTCCGTGCATTGACAGCAGCTGCTGCCGCCAGTCATTATAATGTTAACCAAAGAACAAAAAAGAAAATCCCCTCACTGATCTTGACTGAATCACTTTTGTAACCTCAGTTTATATTTTATTTGCCTGTTGTTCGGCGCCGACTACTGTAATGGCAACGTGCATCTGTGTATGTGATTATTTTGGAGATGTGTTCCAATATAAGTTATCCTTATTTAGGGTATAGGCCTATTCTATTTTGAGCTGCAGTTTAATAAAGGTTAAACAGAAAAAAAGACAAAGTAGCACTGCATGTGTTTCTGAATATTTATTTAAACCGACTGTATAATGATGGAAAAACCACAAACATGACGGGTATAATTAAAATACGCATTCTTTCAGCGCACATTTCAATGCAATATTTTTTACAGATTTTGTAAACCGTGTATACAATATAATTGTTTAATTAAGCTGAGATGTAGCACTATAAATTCTTAATTCATTTGCAACAAAACTATAAAGTTTTGTTGCAAATGGATGAAGACATTAGTAGGCTTCTCAGCTCGCCCCTCAACATGTATGCGTTTGGAGTTTCGGCAGTCCAACACTGAATATTATATTGTGGGCGTTGTGTTTTGATTAATAAAATAAAAATTACAATATAAAACCGAAATGTAAATTACCCTGCTTTTAATTAAATAAAGCAGTTATTTAAAGAGGACCGAAAGAGGCCTCCGAACTAGTATGCTACCGGAAAAGGGCAAAACGTTTTTGCTCAGAATTTTTAATCCCTGCATGATTTTAGTCATACATTATAAATATCAAATACGTTATAGCTTGACTACAAGTTTAAAACAATGCTGCAATTGTTATAATTAAGGACATTAAACTTACCATCATGAAATGCGATAATGCCAAAAAGAAAGAGAAACATCGGAAAATAGGCATATTTTATTCAAGACAATATTGACAATATATGACAAAATGTCCAATTTCACTATGATGAACTTAAAATTGGGTTCTATTAGTTGTCCTCAACAGTTCTCCTCACAAAACTAAATTAATTTCAAACACAAATTTGATAAGAACCGAGTGGAAATTATTAGCAACACCAAAATAACAGCAAAGCTAGGTCAGCTGGCCAATCAGAGCAGACTGCGCTTGTCGGAAGGAGGGACTTTGTAGAAAACGAAGCGTTTGAGAGAGGCGGGGCATAGAGGACCTACAATAATGTACAGTATTTGAAAAATAATGTGTTTTTTGAACATTAAAGCATGTCAACATATTCTGTTACACCAAATACACAAAATAATGATCTTTAAAAAAGCATCATATGACCCCTTTAAGACCAAACTGAACATGGTGTGTTTATGGTGCATGTCGACAATGTTGTCTCGGCGGGGCATAGTGGAGGTGGGGCTTAGGTAGACGATATTATCGGATATCGCAATATTTTTAAAGGCGATTATCGATACGATATTTTTGACATATCGCCCAGCCCTACTGGCTTTACTGACAAGATGTGCATTAAATATCGCATGCGATTTATCGTGCAGCCCTAATGTGAATTATTTTAATAATGTTTTTAATGTAGGCCAATTTATTAATTTGTTGGGAGAGCTTAATTTTCAGGATAATTACACCAGTCTTCAGAATCTGTTTCCCTATTATTTATTTTTTATAATCAATGTTGAAAACAGTGCAGCTTTTGTAGAAACAGATTTTTCAGGATTTTTTTTAATGAATAGAAATTTCAAAATAACAGCATTTTGCAAGTCTTTGCTGTCACTTTTGATCAATTTAATATGTCCTCGCTGAAAAGTATTCATCTTTTTCAAATAAAAATCTTACTGACTCAATGTTTGTATGGTAGTGTATTTACTTTTGTATTCTATTTGTCACCAGTAACATTATCAAGCTGACTAACATGATTGACTTGGCATACTTGGGAAGTGATAGTTGGTCTGTTTACAAAATTAATGATAATTATATTAACATCCACATTAACAGCTGACAACGTTGTTTGTTTATTTTATGCAGTGCACACATTAATATTGAATGGCTTAATAATGTCTGTCAGTGGTTTTATCATTATAGTTGTTGTGAACTTTTTTTGAATTTTTTTAAAATTTTATTATTAAAATTAATAGTTACTGTTCTTGTTGTGAACCGGCTTTTACAATGGGTTAAAGTATTGTTTTGGTATTGTATGCCATTGTTTTGGAGTAAAAAAATATTTTTTCCTTTTTATCATTTATTTTGGGTATTTGCAAATACATGTTAAAAATGGCTGTTTATAGGGATGCTCCGATCCGCCATTTTTGCCTCCGATTCCGATACCTAGGGTTCGGTATTGGCCGATACCGTTTCCGATCCGATACCAGTGAAGATTTTTTTCCCTCATTTAAATAAATTTAGAATTTATATATCTCTCTGTGTGTGGAACTGATAATCATTCTTTCACAAGCACTAAGGATTAATGAGCTACTGGATTCATGAATATTAATCAGGTTGTGTGCGTTTGCTCGAACTGATTGCTGACATCAAAATAGGGATGATAATAGGTGAGCGCCAGCCAATGAGATTGTCGTTTGCGCATTAGTTCCGTCTACTACAGGAAAACCCGGCAGTTCTTAAAAGCTGAAGCATTCCAAAGGAACTCTGTTATTTTCACAGGAAAATACAACAAAGTATATCGTTTACATGTAGCGCATCAATTCTGCATGTTATGTAAGACTCTCGCTCGCTCTCGCTCTTTGCTCACAGTGAGAGAAAGCGACGGCGAGTCGTGCGCCTTCACACTAGAAACACATTACGCCAAATACACAAACACAGGTGCGCTGCGCATCCATTCAAATGAACTGAAAAATATCACAGATCGCTTGACGGAGAGTAGGGATGCAGCGATTAACCGGTTTTGCGATTAACCACTCTTTAAAACGTCACGGTTAATTAATCGTAAAGGTTCCGCTAAACCGAGTGTTTCTGTTACATGGAACGGAACTGTTGCAGCTTGCGCAAAACGAAAAAAGTTACACTAGCGGTGCACCAGCTTAAAATGACGTGCTTATCAGAGGCACGGAGGCTACTACATGCACTAGATGAACTGTGACAGAGGAACCAAACAGCGAAGCTTTATTTCCACCAGAGAAATGCCTGTCGATAGTGTGGGACCATTTTGGCTACACCAAGAATGACCAGGGTGTCATTTAAATATTGCTGTAAAAAACAGCTGCCAAGCTAGAGCGACTACATAAGGGATAATGCACGGCTTGCTGTACATTGAACGATTTTAATGCACGACGTGAAGGCAAGAACCACCTGACGCGAAGCTACAGCTCGTTAGCTCCGCATTCTGCCCGCTTCAGATCAGAAAGAGATTAAATAGTGCGGTAAGATCACATTTATTTGAATTAATTAATTATAACAGTTAGCTACTTGAATTAATTATTCGAGAGAGAGAGGGATGACAGTTGCCTGTGTGAATTAGCCTACCTGCGCCTGTGCGTCTCTTCAGTAGGCTATTTAATCTATTTTATTAATAAAAGTCACGGGGCAGCATTCTCAAGAAGTTTGTGTCCTCCTGAATGTTTGTACACGTGTGCAGCGCGATATCCGATCTCACAAACCAAAATAATAGGCATGATTTTCTCAGGCCACATGTAAAATCATGAATTATTATAAAGATTATTAAAATGAATA